TAGGGCTACTGACTGCATATTACTTTTCCATGATTGTAAAGTTTAAAAGTCATAAATTGAATCATTGTAAATTGGGAACATCTATAATTACAAGTAGAACAAAAATAAGTCTGCTAATTATAAGACATTTCTTGTTAGTTTCCAAATATTGTTCATCTTGGTAGACAACAATAGATTTGTTTGCTTTTCCAAATATAGGCACAAAAAAAAGAAAGCAGATGAGAAAGTTCACATTTTAGGTGTCAGGTCTGTCAATTGAAAATAGAAAAATAGTATTTCTAATAACTGTACAGAAGAAATTTGTGAAACAGAAATACATTAAAAACAAGAGCAAGTCTGCAAGATTGTGAAAGTTGGTACTTGAAATGGATAAAGTAAAATCATGGCAAAAACAAAAACAATGAAAACAAGACCCTGTACATATTTTCCCCTGGTAGATCAATATGCTCTATTTCAAGAAGATGGATTAGTATTTTGTTTTTCTATTTCTGTATTTGGAGAAAATCACAAAATTGTTGAAACTCTAGGTGAAAGACTAATATACCCCAACTTTATCTTATTACCCATTTCACATACACATGTATAGTTTTATTGCTATTAAAAGTAATTACTTGATTTTGATGAAAACTTTGAGTATATTTTATATTTAAGGAGTTTTCCAGTGCTGATGATTACAGTGTGTTTTACTTCCTGCCACCCTGGAAGTTCTTGCAATTTCTTTATCATAATTTCCAGATTTCATATTCCACATAGATAATGTATACTTATAGGGAAATGCTAGTGATAAAATTAAATCTCTTACTGACTTTGTAAAATTCTTAAAATTGATGGATAAAAATGATACACTAATAAACTACTTTAAAAAGAGAATGAGAACAAAAACATTGTAATCCCATTATAAAGTTTAGAATATATGAGATTTTGCATTCAAATTGATTTTGAAAACCAAACCAACTTTACAAATTTCTCCCTGTTGTATATTAAACATGATCAATAAGGATACAGTAATAGAAGTCTAATAATAATTTCAACCATTCATTTAGCAAACAAAATAATACTAAGTATTGCTGGATCAAAAGAGTTTCCTTGTTCTTTGTATTTAAATGATGATTTTAATAGGTGGGATGGTCAGGGGAAGGGTAATAAGGGAAAAGAAAAAAAATGTGAGAAAATGAAAAGATGGAGCGAAAGTGTTTGTAAATGGGGAGGGGGGGGAAGGGAGGGCAGGGACGAGGGGAAAAAATGAGAACCAATACCTGTCATGTAGAGGTACAAGATCCCAACAATGAATGTAACTGTACTGTATCCCTAAAATGTACCAGTAAATTCAATTATTTAATAAAAAATAAATTATAATACTCATGTAAATAACCAATTTATATTTAAACATTTTAATCAAATAAAGTCTATATGAATATATTTCATACTTTGTTATAATTTAGGAGAAAATCAGAACTTCATAGTGAAATACTTTCAATTTCAATAATAATATTCAACAAAAATAAATGCCCATAAAACTGGAAGGATATGTAATAATCTTTTGTTGCATTTTTCATATTAAACAAAAATTTAAAAATATGACAGTTTCATTGTATTCAACAATTTTTCCTAACTAGATATTTGCTCAGTTCATGTTAATATAGATACTATTACATGTTGTATTTCATGAATATTTGTTCCACTGTTTTTGCTTCAAAAATACCTTTTCCTTTTTTTACTTACATAGAAAGTATCATAAGTAAAATTAGAAAATAACTCATTTGGGTGACAGAAATACCACATTTCTGTATTCATTAGGTTATATGTATTTCTTCAATAAAAATAGGAGACACCTTGGACAATAATGAGAATTAGAATTTATTTATTATTTGTGGGTACCATGTACAGTTACTAAGCTGTAGGCAGGAGATAAATGCTCCATGAAGAAGGCATATTATTAGGATTTATTCTGAGTAAATAAAAACATCTAAGTGAATATTTGAAAAATTAAATATTTTTAAAAAAGCTTTTGGCACGGTACCTGACTTAATAAATACTATGAAAAAACAAACATGAAACATCAGTGATTTTAATATTTTTTATACCATCATTATCACATATAACTTGAAAATATTCATTTGACATTTTACAATATAATTTTAGATACTGTTACAAAATATTATTTTACAAGGTCACTTTTTAGCATTATATTTCCTCAAAATGGTGATGCAGTAGTTAATGTGGTCTTCAGTTTTGTAGGCAGCTAACACCTGGCTCACTGAGACTAACATTTTCACACCAACAAGTAAAACTTGGTAAGATAGATTATCTAATGCACAGATCTTGTGCTGTAGTTACAGTGTTAAGAAGTCCTTGTCATTATGAATGTGCATTATGAGTATATTGTACACAGTCCTGGTATGCAAATGTGTAGCATTCAGAGAAGTGAAATAATTCTGTGTTATTATTATCTTTGTAAATTACATCTTAAGAGTTTTTGAGGACTTTATGATAGCAGTTTTCTATAGTCACAGTCATACAGTATATGCAGCACAAAGTGTTTTCTTTCACTATTAACAATAACTGAGCCAATGAAAATGCTTTTTAAATATACACCCGGCAGGCAGTTATCTGGCTCTTCCTTCATACTATCCACAAACCATCTTTTACCGTCTTTTAAGACAGCATACGAAACAGCTTTGTAAACATCTGTTTTTCATTGTTGATTGTTAGGAAAACTGGGGATTTTAAATGCTTCTTTGGAATACTCTTAATCCTATCAAGAAGAGTAATTTGTATATGTTTATCTTTTCTTCTTTAGATTGTTCTTTTACATTGTAAAAATATTCATATACTGTACTTCATTTTAAAAAGTTACTTAAGGGTGATAATATTTTTACAGGTATTTAAGGACATAACTTTGTATTAGTTGAAATTATTAGTAACTAGGCTATATTATACATAAAGGACGTAGGGCAAATATAGACTTAAATATAATGTGCTTTTGAATCATTTTCAGAGCTATCTTGGACATATTCCATATTGAAATGTAGAAAATATAAGGAAAAGGTATTTGGTAGCCAACAGACATATTAATTTAGAGCTCCAAATCTCCTTTCATAATTGTTCTTGGGAAATATGCTTTATTTTCATAGGCATTTTCCATTGCAATAATTGAGCCATTAATGTCAACAGAATATCTTTGGTAGTGATATACTAAGAAGGCTTTGCAGTAATACAGTGTGACATCCTGCTAAATGAGAAGGATCTTTTGCAATAATTACTTTAAAAATATTAAAATTCTGGTCTGGTTGTTCTGAATTTTAATGTAAATGCAAATATATCTATCTCTTGAGAACAGAGCATCCATAATTTAATAATTAAATAATAAGTAATAACTAATAATTTTTAACCTATAAATAGGCTTAAGTAGCAAGAGTAAGGAATATTAAGAGAAGCAGTTGATTGTTAATAAAAACTTTTTTTCAGAGTGTACTCATTTAAAACATTTTATAACCTTTATTAAATTACTATCTTACCATGCAATTAGAATGTATTGTCATTTTTTAGTTTTAAAAGACTTGTACTTCATTAGTTTCTAAACTGGTAGAAATTGGAATCTCACTGTTCACTATATCTGCTTTTTACTTTTTGCTTTTCAAAGTTGTAGTGATGTAGAACTAGGCCTTATCACTGCATACAAAATTAATTGAAATGACATATTGTTGCAGTTTCTATGACAACCATATCATGATGCTAATGTTCTTAAAAATTTATAAACTATAATCTGTAATATGCTAATTCTAGTGAACATAGTTCACACTTATTTGCTTAATATTCATTTTAGCACTAAACTTTGTCAACTTTGGAAGTAGGTGGATAACATCATACACAATTACAGGGGCTTTATATATTAAGCCTTTGAATTTAAAACTTTTTCTCTGAAAATATAGAACTTTGTGTGAATAAGTGTTTTCCATTTGTTATTTTCTTAAACAGACATGAATGAACTTGAGGATGACCATTGTTGCAGGTTCTTAATATTATCTTCCTCTCCTTCCCTCATTAGAAAGATCATGTGTTCAAACCTAATGTAAAAGATGCGGATACAAACTGAAAATTCAATAACATGTAATGAGTTAAGTAGCAGCCAACATTCAGATATTTGGGAACACTTCACCTATTTTTTAGCTTTCATCTGTTTGATTTTAGGAAATAAATACCTCCATCACATGTGAACAATTATGATGCATGTTAAAGATATAAAACTTAGCAAGTTATAGAATAATTTTGCATAAAAATTATACAATCTGATTTGGAATACAGCTCCAGGTTTCTTTTAGATATGACTTAGAAGTAAAGTGTTATTTGGAATTGGTTTGTAACTATAGTCTACTTAAAGCTTTTTGAGATATATCATTTGTTAAATCAGAAAAACTACTTTTGGAAATGTATAAATTTATCAGTTAATGCAAACAGTTGGAGTAATTTAAATAGTATATACCAGATGAAATAAAGTAATAGTGTGTTGAATCATCAAATACTGAATACAGTGCTTCTGCTGGCATAGTTAATAAAAATTAACTTTCAGTATATGTGCAATAAATTTTAATTAATATTTATTGAGTCATAAAAGGTATAAAATATAAATCTTGAGTTAGCATACCTTTAAATATTTGCCTTGTACATATTAGACACTCAGTACACGTTTAAGTGTGTTTAACATATTTGTGATATTTTTAAAAACATATAACAAAAATCCTGAAATTTAAAAATAGCAATTGTGATTTTAGATTTTTAAGTAACATTTTAAGTTTAGAGAATTTAATCCAATTCATTTTTAAAGCACAATGCTAACACATAAGAATATGTAAAACAAAGTTACTAAAATAAACTATCAAATTTTTATGCACTGGTAATATTGGTCAATTAATGTTTTATTTTTTGATATTTATTGGTGAGCAATTTTTGAACATTCTTTTGTGCATGTGATTTTTTTAACTTGTATTTTTTCTAGGTATTGCAGTAGATCTAATGCTGATTTATGAAATCTTTCCAATGTGACTAAAATGTAAAATGAATGCAATGGGAGGAGTCATTTTAGCGGATGGCAAGCCTTATGTTTGGAAGAGGTAAGTGTTTCTTTAGACAGAAGCACATATGAAGGAATATGAATATTTTAGCAATATCAAAAGAATGTTATCATGAGGGGTACTTTGAATTTTATTGAATAAAATTTGCTTCTGTGGTTGCATTATCCTATAACCCTTCATCATATTTTTCCTTTCAATGTTTTTTATATTCATATTTTTCTGTATAATTATCTAGACTACATTTAGTCAGGAAAAAATCCCTATAATTCTATTTAACAGTGTAAGAGAAATATTTGGATGGCTGATAAAAATTTCAGTTTTCATCTGAACAATTCAGTGGCGTTAGTTTTGGCAGCCTTAAATGATGAAAAAAATAAACCCATTGCCTTAGGAAATTTTTTTTTGGATAGCATTTAAAAAATGTTACATGTTGTATTTTTAAAAAAATACAGTTGATAGGTATATTTTAAAAAAATATCAGTAGAGGTTTACAATGTATTTCTACCACATTGTATGGTGTTTTTTTGCCACTATTATTCTATTTATATTAAAGCAGAGCATATAGACTGAATAATGACTTCTATGTTGTTAAGATTTTTGTTTAAAAATTATGGAATTGGTCTCTGATTGCACATGTGATATGTGTTATAGTTACTATATTTCTCATTAAATGATGTTTCTACCTAGACTTAGTTTCTGCCAGTTATGTTAGGATTCAATGTATATTTCTTCCATTTAAGGTAGAATGAACTGCCAGAATTATGTGTGGCAAAGGCAAAGCTCTTTTGAGTTAAGGCTCTGGGGACATTATACAAGTCTAATGTTCTTCCATGAGGTTGGCTTACCCCACTAAAACTAAGAAATGAGATGATTTGAGGCTATTGCATACTTAAAGTTTTCATAGTGGATTAGACTAGCATTACTTAGTACAGGTGTTTCTATAATTGGGATTCCCTGGGAAAATTCAGAACTGTGTTCAATAACACTCAGCTTTCCACACGAGTGGAGGAGTGGTCCAGTGATAATTTGCTAGGCTGTGGCGTGAAACACAGAAATGGGGTCTGGCTTGGGGGCCTGTTGCTTTTTCTTCTTTGAAGACATTCTCTGTTGTCCATTAGTGTTAGATTGCTGCTGTTCTATTTTAAAATTTTAATTTATTATTTATTTATTGCTGACTAAAATATTATTTATTTATTGCTGCCTAAGTTGGAGTCAGCCAGAACTGATTTATACTTTCATATAATACAAACTAGTGCCCAAGTATCATTTTTGTTATGTAAATCGAATTCTTCTTCTTCTGTAAAACATTATGTTTAAACACTATCTCTGTACCCAAGCTGCAGGAAAAATGACCCAGGTGCCCTTTGGGCACAGTTCACCGAGGAGGAGGACCTTTGTTGGAACTTTATAGATGTCTCCAAGCCTCAAAGGCAATGTCCAGGAACAACAAAGAACGACCACAATATTTTGTTCCAGGATTAAGCTAGGGTATTCTTAAGCCTGGTTTCCTTATAGAACAAGACAAAAGTACACTACAGGAAGAACAGTGAGCAAATGAAAACAGGTGATACAAATAATAAGTCATTACTGTTTTATCTAATCCATTGTTAGCTACTCAGGAGGGCCAATTGCCTGAGAAAGGAGCAACTAGAGTTAAGCGCCCAGCTCTAGCAGCAGAACGTTGCTCTCCTGCACCCAGTTTTCATTTCTGAGACCTCTGTTTTTGACCTTGGGTCTGGCTGCAAGCCTGAGGCCCTTTTTTCTCCTCCTGTCCTGCACATGGAGAGCAAGTGGGAGATGAGCCCCAGGGAGTGCGGGTTCTGGGCTGAGCCGAGGTCACTGCAGAAGGGCAGTGGATCTGTGGCTTAGACCCGGACGGATGCTAGCCTCTTCAAAACTGCTCTACCCTCTGCCTCTGCCCTGGCAGTTAGTGCTTGAAATTTGTGATCTGCAGTCCCTGCCTGGGAGCTGCAGGCTCTTTGATCCGAGCTTTGTACTCTGCTGGGAGAATGCGCCTTCTTTCCATTCCCGGCTACTGATTTCAGCTAGTGGGCGGCTTTAGCCTTCACTCCTCTCGGTCCGGTCGCGGAGGGCAGGCCTTGCCTCAGTGTATTGCCCCGACGGCATGGTGTGCTCCCCTTTGCTTCCCTTTCAAGCAGTTCCAAGAGGTCGCCCAGGCTGCCGAGTCGGAGTGACTAGGAGGTCCCCACCGCGCTCGCAGTCTCGCGCTCGACCTCAAGGTGGCGACTTAGGCACGTAAACAAAGCGAGGCCAAGTCGGACAGCTGGCACCCTAGCGGCGCATCCTCTTCTCCTAGTTTCCCCCGCTGCTCCCCAGAGGGCTGAATTGACTGTTAAAGGGACCCTAGTTTGGATGAGGAGAGTGTCAGAAGTGTGTGTGCGGGAGTGCGTGTGTGTGTGTGTGTGTGCGCGCTCGCGCGCGTGTGTATCTATATGTGTGTCCGTGTCCGTGTCCGTGTCCGTGCGGGCGCCGAGGCGGCAGAAAGTGGTGATGTGGTGGAAGCCCTTGACCGAACCCGTCTGGGACGCCGCGAGCCTCCCCTGTATCACCTGAGTGAGCCCTCAGGCCAAACCACCAGGCGGGCTGGGACTTCTAGAGCACTGTGCGGCCCGAGATGTCTCGAGCAGTGAGCAACTGGCAGAAGGACAGCGGGTCTCGTCGCTGCCGGCAGCAGTAGATTTGCTAATCTCTTTTCATGACACTCACGATCTATGCGTGGAGAGACCTGGAAAATAAAGCCCTCCGCTGCGCTTGTGCCCTTCTCCCGGTGCATACAGGCTGACCCGAGTGGTAGCGGTAGTTGGGGGTGGGGAAGAGAGAGATACAGACATCGAAAGAATAAACGTGCGACAGTCATACAGTCTTACCTCCTGGACGAAAGGACACGGTTCCTAGAACTGAGATTTCCATAGCCAGTCTGCATCCCAGCTGTTTCTCCCGTAGGCGCTTTCCTGCCTAACACCGCCTTCTAACTTGGACAAGGCTGGAGCTGCCTCCCTCCTTTTCCTCCCCCCCCCCCCCCCCCCCCCCCCC